AAGGATGCAATGTTAAAAAGCAACATCTAGGGACGTAATCCGTGCTTTGTTAACATATGTTTGACTGGTAAGAGAGAGTGATGCTGGCACTAAACACCACCATTTCTTCTTGAAAGTTAAACAGAACTAAACTACACATGTGGTTTTAAAAGATCCAATAAAAGTAATAACAAACTTCCAAGTTACTATCCTTCAGGTTTTAAAACTAACTTTTAGGGATTAGAATGAGACCTTCGTGGAGGAGTAAATTATTCCATAGTGACCTGCTGCTGTTTTTCTTGTACCTTCTGCCGAAGAATCTGGCACTGGCCACTGCTGGAGACAGAATATTGAACCAGAGGGATCATGGGTCTGATCCAGTATGGCAAGTCCTTTGTCACTATCCTTCCAAAGCCAAACTCTCATAAGCCACTTGTTTTCACTTTCAATACCCTTCAGGGCCTATTTTCACCCTACGCATCATCCTTCATTTGCTAATGACACCTGCCTTTAACCGGTGCACGATTCTGGCCTCCATTGCCCTTTTGTTAAATTTTCCACACAAGAACCTTTGTGCTTTTTCCCGTGCAGCTCCACAAGCTTGGGAAGGAATTCTCTGTAGACAACTGCGAAGTTATTTCATTATCCACCTTCAAAACCCTTCTGAAAACTCTCCTTTTCGGTGATGCCTCTAAAAATAAACGTGACAATAGGTCAGCTGCTGATGTGCGGAGACGACACCTCTCATGCTGACCAATATTGTCTCATTGTTTCCTGGTACTCCCTGTCGGTCTGTCTGTAGCCATCCGTTCTCTTGTCTTACACTTAGATTGTAAGCTTTTTCAGGCAGGGACTGTCTTTTTTTTCCTGTGTATGTACAGCACCCAGCACATGGGGTCCTGGTCCATGAATCGCGGTTCTTGGCACTATGGTTAATACAAATAATAAATCATCATCATTGGAGAAATTCAGGTTAAGATCAACACCCTCTTGCCTATTTTTCTTTTGATCATTTTAAAAAAGTCACAGAATCTTCATACTAAGATAAACACATAAATATACACACATACTTTTATGTGAATTTCTGATAGAGAGATAAGAGTCAGAATTAGAGTATTAATTCAAATGCCTCAGGCATGGCGCTAACAGGTTTAATTTTAATGGGATTCTCAAATATTGAAGAATGTAGACAGGAAGAGTAAATTCAGTATGTAATATTAATTCTAAACATTTAATTTAATTTATGGCAGGAATATGTAAAGTACATGTACTAGCAGTATGCTGAGATGCTAACAGCTTGGGAATTATTGGGTAACGTTTCAAACATTTTAATGTGGCTTGTCACCTATATGCACTGGTTTCTTTTTTCCTGTAAGTGTTGTTTCACAAACAGCACTTTTTTGATGTATTTGATCTGAATGTTTAGATTTTAGTCTGAACTTGCAAAAACCACCCTTATTCACCACTCTGTTGTACTAGTTTTTGGTCAGTGGAATTCCATGGATTTTCAATGAGGTTATAATGGCATAAAATAGGACATACATAGTGTTGAGAAGTGACAACAGTAATTTTAAAAAATGCGTTTACTATTCTTATTTGCAGGATAATTGGGATTTGGTGAAGTAATGTAGTGTTCTCTTATTGGGACAGTCTGCATTACTTTTGGAGCTATGGAATATGTATTTCAAACTGACAGTCCAATACGAAAAAACACAGAATAGTGGGACTCAATCTGCAAAATCCACCACATACTGTAGAATGTATGATTTCTACCATGCCAACCCTGATATAATACAACTGATTTAAATATTAGGAGCTGCTTTTCAATACACCTAAAGACCATCTGAAATCAAAGAATTAATGAAGAAGTACTGTTAAGTGTATTGTAGTATGCTATCTTGTACACAATGTAAAATTGACTGTTCTCATTCACAGGGAATGGGAAATCTCTTTTACTGTGGTGAGGGAGAACCGAACAAGGATTTCCAAAACAAACCTCAGGAGAAAATACCCCCACAGTAGATTAGCAGGAAGGACATCAGCTGCTTTTAATGGAGGATCATTGGCTAAATCTATCATTATATACATATTTCTCTGGTCCCTGTATACCTGTTAAAAGCTGAGTTGTGTCACGGTTTAGTGTTACTTTTACTGTACATGCCTCTATGACTCCTGGCTTTCAACTGCTCTGAATAGAAGGGCAGACTATCAATCTTAAGTAGGTGGGAACTAATTAAAGTATTGGAATATAAATAACAGTATCATTTGATATTTATTCATTATTGTAGTTAACAAGAAATATGGAATATTCAGTATCAATGTAAACGTTGGTTATTTATCTGCTTTCATATTTTTAAGAGGGAGAAAGAGGCATTTATCTGCTAGCATTTAAAAAACAAGCCAAGAGTCTGATCACAGTGTTTCACAGTTCCTAATCCTCTGGGTTTTTCAAATGTGACAAATAATTTTTACTGTTTAGGATTATTTCTGAGGATGTCTGTGACTTTATGACCAATCACAACTCACCAACACAGGTTGAATTTTGAATATTAAAATACTGAATACTCACACAGTGAGCTGTTCACAATCGTTTTGGTGAATAAAATGGATATATCTTAAGAAATTGCAACTGGCTGATGGATGTTTTTACACTAGATGCCTAAAAGATGTCACTGACTTAAGCTGGTCTTCTTGATCTTTGAAGCCTTTACCATAGGTGGAACTGAAACTATTTGAGACATACCACTGGAGTCCTGGGTGATGGGTAGTTGCACCAATACCCCATCAACCTTTTACATCAGTAAAAGCTCAGTTCTGCCATTCTTACATTAAATAGGACCTTACTCCACAAGTAGTTTTACTGGTTTCAGTAGAACTATTTGTGGAGTAAGGTACCACTCAACATAAGAGGAAGCCCTAGGTATTCATGGTTTGTTGTGAAGGGACCTAGATTGCTCTGTCATTAAGTTAATCTTGTCCCACTTTTCTTTGTTTGATCACTGTTTGTCTCAGTTTATTACCTTTCTCTCTGTCTTTTTTTCCAGATTCCCTTGATCAAGCACATTGTGCAATTTACGTAACAGAATACAGACCAGTGTTATTTTTACATCAATTTGTTACTTTACATATCAGAATGTGATTGGCCTTATTCTTCTCTTCCATTTTGCTCTTGCACCATAAATAAAAGGCCACCATCAGCACACACACAGCCATAATTGTACTTTTATTCACATAATTCCATTGATATTGCACGGAGTTACAAAAAGAGCAAATTTTGGATGAACCTGTGACTGAGAGTTGAACAGCAGATCCAGAAAGTGGTATCTGTAAACATAGGCACTGACTGTCAGTGCTCTGGGGCTGGTAAAAAAACAGTGGGTGCTCAGCACCCACCGGCAGCACCGCAGATCAGCACCTTCCTCTCTCCCACCAGTGTCTCCCACTCATCATCAGCGCTGCTGATCAGCTTCTTTCCCTTCCTCCCAGTGCCTCTCCCTCACTGTGATCAGCCGTTCAGCAGCATGCAGGAGGTGCTGGGGAGAAGGGGCAGGAGCAGGGGGCGGGGTCAGAATGGTGGTGGGAAGAGGTGGGGCAGGGGCTTGCAGAAAGGGGTGGAGTGTGGCAAGGCCTGGGGCAGAGTGGTGGTCAGCGCCTCGGTTTGTAAAGCAATGTTCCCAGCATCCATCCCTCTCCAAAATTGGAGCTCAGGATTTTCACCTTAAGTGCAAAGTGTATATATAATTCTTGAACCCTTTCATTTTCAGTTTAAACTGATTTTTACTGTAAAATTCCCGGGTTTACAAAAAGTGTTCAGCTTTATTTTTCACCCTACTTTTTGTATCATTCAAATATATAAAAATAGCATGTTTTATTAGGAAAATACAATACGTTGCATGATATATAGATATCACAATAATACATTAGTTTGTGCGTATATGCAAAGCTGCCTGTTGAAGTAAGGCTATGTATTAGTCTAGAAGATGCACAGTAAACAAACAGGCATGCATGCAAACTCTAAAGTGCATGTGCATCTGAATGTACTCATGAATCTCACGCTCATCACATACACCTTTCAAGCTGTTAGCAGATAACGGTTTAAAGATTTGACACTAACATGGGAAGAAAATGAAAATCTGTATTAGAATACAAGGAAGTATTTGAAAGTTTAAAAAAAAGGAGAAAAGGAGGAAGTTGAGTATATGCGATGCAAATGGTATGGCTCAATTATGAAATGTAAATATATGTAGGCTAATAGTTTTAAGCCTACGACAGTGAACTATTTATTCAAATGAAAAGTTTTATTTGGGGATTAGAGATGTATTGTTTTCTTAAGCTCAAAGGTGGCATTGTGTTTTGAGTTCTGTTTTAGTTCTGCGGCAAACCACATTAATGAATGGAATTCAAAGCATTAATCTACTGAATACCTTTTTCCCCCGTCTTTCCATATACCAAAATAAACCAATATTTACCCAGTAAAATTAATAGGTTTTTTTGCACTGATTTTCACCTGTTTCTTTTGTTGTGGTAATAAACATTGATACATTCCTGGGAAAAATTAAATAAAATAAAAACTGAAAATGAAAGGCCCTAATAATTCTACACAGATGAACCCTGAGGAAAATTCTTCCTTCCTTTTTTGCGCTTTTCAACAAAGTTTTATTCACATGAACTCATGTAACTTATGTTTCTTTGATTGAAACCAAAATTCAGATCAGCATCTATTCATATTCTCTCTCTCTAACTGCTAAAAAACCAACACAATGGCTCTTTAATATTTAATTGATGATATCATTTTGCAGGTTTTAGTTTAAAGGTAACCATAGCACAAACACATTCATTATTAACTGTAGAACTGCAGTGTAGGCTCTTGGGAATCCTCTTTCCTTTACACTTCAGTTTAATATGAGTGCTGCTGTCCCTGGAAAACAGTTCTGATATTGTTTTAAAGTGTGGCAAGTTGGCAATTACAGTCACAGCCTAAACCAGAACAATGTAAATGGCGGATATCAATAGATGGGACAATGCTTAAAAGCGAGATGAAGACTGAAGGTGAGAGGAAGCTGAGGAAAGTCCGATTTCGAATTGCTTCCTCTCACAGTGGGAGAGTACTAAAGGAAGTGTATGCAGATGGAGAAACCGCAGACTCTTTGGATTCTGAATATACCAGTAGTTCAGAGACTGACCAAACCAGCAGACTGAGTGAAGCGGATGGACAGCAGAATGGACATTTAGGATCTGAGTGTGATGAAAATGAGAATGAGCAAGATGACTTGTTCATTTTAGTGAGAGCTACTAAAGAGAGGGGCTTTGGTACAAAACGAGTCAACATTCTAAGCAAAAATGGTACAGTGAGAGGAGTCAAACACAAAGTCAGTGCTGGTCAAGCCCTCTTTAACAATTTGTCAAAAATATTTCAGGTAAGTGAAGCAGCTTTGCTAATTGTGAAAACTTTCATTTACCCTGTGTCTCATCTTTTTCTCCTATTTCTTTCAAGCCTCTCTTATTTTATGAGTTCTCATACTTCAGTATTCATAACTGATGCCACTGAAGGCTCTCATGTACAGGAGAGAATGATTGTTCCTATACCAACTCCACAGCACAAATTGGTTTGGAAACTTCTCTCAGTATTCACCTCCCCTAGGGTTTGCTGGCTAAAAATGGATACTCTCTGCCTAGCATGTAAAGACCTGGAGTGAGGATATGACTGAAGAAATTAATTTTCAGCTTCATTAGAAGCATTAAGAATGATATATGGGGTCATATGCCATTTCCAGCCCTATGGTATCTGTTTTAACTGGTTTACCATGACATCTGCTATCCTTTCTCTATAAATAATTCTGTTGTGTTTAACCCAATTAGTAAGTCAAATTAGATGCAGAATACCACCAATGACACATCTCCCATTTAAAGGTTAATGATATCTAGTCAGCTGTCTCTCTTATTAAGGTCTGTTTTTCACTAATCTGCTGGAAGGAACTGAAAACCTATATTTAAAATGGTTTATGCCACTTTGAACCCTTAGGCTGAAAGCCAGATTTCTCAGAAAAATAAAATAAAATTGTCTTTTTTTAAAATAGCTTAGATTTCATACAATAATACTACAACATCTAGAATCATAGAATCATAGAATCATAGAATATAAGGGTTGGAAGGGACCCCAGAAGGTCATCTAGTCCAACCCCCTGCTCAAAGCAGGACCAATTCCCAGTTAAATCATCCCAGCCAGGGCTTTGTCAAGCCTGACCTTAAAAACCTCTAAGGAAGGAGATTCTACCACCTCCCTAGGTAACGCATTCCAGTGCTTCACCACCCTCATAGTGAAAAAGTTTTTCCTAATATCCAATCTAAACCTCCCCCACTGTAACTTGAGACCATTACTCCTCGTTCTGTCATCTGATACCATTGAGAACAGTCTAGAGCCATCCTCTTTGGAACCCCCTTTCAGGTAGTTGAAAACAGCTATCAAATCCCCCCTCATTCTTCTCTTCTGCAGGCTAAACAATCCCAGCTCCCTCAGCCTCTCCTCATAACTCATATGTTCCAGACCCCTAATCATTTTTGTTGCCCTTCGCTGGACTCTCTCCAATTTATCCACATCCTTCTTGAAGTGTGGGGCCCAAAACTGGACACAGTACTCCAGATGAGGCCTCACCAATGTCGAATAGAGGGGAACGATCACGTCCCTCGATCTGCTCGCTATGCCCCTACTTATACATCCCAAAATGCCATTGGCCTTCTTGGCAACAAGGGCACACTGCTGACTCATATCCAGCTTCTCGTCCACTGTCACCCCTAGGTCCTTTTCCGCAGAACTGCTGCCTAGCCATTCGGTCCCTAGTCTGTAGCTGTGCATTGGGTTCTTCCGTCCTAAGTGCAGGACCCTGCACTTATCCTTATTGAACCTCATCAGATTTCTTTTGGCCCAATCCTCCAATTTGTCTAGGTCCTTCTGTATCCTATCCCTCCCCTCCAGTGTATCTACCACTCCTCCCAGTTTAGTATCTACTATTCACTAGCTCTGCTATACTATTTTTGAATTATTAATGTTCAAATTGTGCTAGCATGCGTGTTGTTATTCATGGTTTCCTAGAAGGAATCGATGTCCAATGTGTTTATCATGATATTGAAAATTAACACATGCTAGTTTTAGAGGATGTATTGTTTTAGAAGCATTTGTGTAATATCTAAGGGGGGTGGGGTTTTATATAAGTACTTATTTATTGAAATTAAATGTTCTATTTATGAGAAGTCTCTCTGAGTTTTATGCTGTGTTCTTATTTAACAAACATGTAATCTTATTACAGTCACCCTTGCCTTCCTATCCCCGGGTTTAGAACGTAAGATCTTCAGGGCAGGAACCATGGGCCTAATTCTGCTCTCACCAATTTTATACCAGTGTAAATCCATTGACTTCAGTGGAGTCACTCCTGTTAAGTGCAATAAGAATCTGGTCCAGCAACTTTACTTATTTCTGTGAAATGTTTAGAAGGACGGCATCCGGGAAAGGCTTCACAGGAAAATAACCAGAGAAAACTATACACAGAGAAGGTAGATCAGACTCTTGGTTTTGATGTGTTCCTCCACTGGATGATATCATTGCCAACAAAAAGAAACTACTCTGAAAAACTGGAACACACAGATATTTTAAACAGTTTGAACAAAGCATAAGGAAAGTTCCCTGCACAACAGTTACCACAAATTCTAGGTTCAGAGTCTAGCGGAGAGGAATTATCTTTTGCCAATGATTTCTATGGTATGAAGTCTGTAACACTGATTGGTATAAATGTGGGATACCAGAGTGCAAAGGTTTCCTTTGAGACTGCTGGAGTCCTGTGTGAGATCTGTTCAGATATCCCTCCTTATTAAAAATGGAATGGTATCTGCCTTCCTCTTGAAAAAAGATCACCACCGCATGATTTCTATTGTTATTCCATGAGCTTGATCAGGACCTTCTCTTCCCCAACAAAAGAGAGTGTAAAAAGTAGTAATTTTGTGGTAAAAGGTATGACAAGATAATTTTGTTTCTCTCTCAAAAGGATATGCTTCAGCACCCTCTGGTCTATGGACCTTCTAGAGGGTCCAATGTTGAAGAGCTGTGACTGTCTGCAGTTGTATTCTTTTCTCTATAGGGAAGGGGCAACTAGCTGTATAACAGTTCAGTCAAACTTTTATGGAGGTTCCAATATCTGAGGTGAGATTCTGACCTTGCTTGCATGTTGATTCAGAACTAAATGGCCTGATTATATGTTTGTCAGGATCCTTACCTGAAACAGTCATTTGAAATCCCAAAGTATGCACAGAAATTCCTGGGTCAATCCTGAGTCTAAGTTGTGGATGGATTCTTGAATATTATTATTTGGATCAGAGTAACTAAGAAATGATTTATAATGAAAAATGTGATTTGGAATCTCAAGCATGCAGTATGTGTGTGTCCTGTGATCACTAACAGTGGCTTCTCGAGGTATACTGCCAGTTGTGGCCACACGATTTTGGTCCTCTGGCCCAACTTCCACATCAAAGCCTTTGTTAACAACTACTAACTGTGGCAAATATTCTCTAGTGTTGAGCAATGGCAGACTTCAAAACAAGTAATTTCTAGCAGGAAGTAGAGACACTCCATATATATACAGAGACAAGTGCGGATTTTGGTAAATGGAGTTTGGTGAAGCAGGCAAGCTGTTTTCATCTTTTATACTCAGAAGGACTAAGAATACCTGAGCCCAGCAAGTCTTCTGTGAATTTTAAATGTTCCAGAGAGATTTTTGGATTTTGAATAATTCTCTATTCATGCTACTGAGTGCACCCCTATGGAAGTGGTGCAGATAGTTCCTTCAAAAAGGCTACCTATTCAGACATGGCTCATGGCCACCACACCTTTAATGAATATGAGCAGAGTAGATCTGTTAGGTGGGAAATATTTCTAGATTAAAACAAGAATTTGCCTGTTGTTGAAGCTCAGTCAGAGAGAGAGTTTACACATAGATCCGTTGCTCACTTCTACAAGAAGACTTGGAGCATCTCTGCCACAAGGCAGATGGATGGCTAATGATTTCAGCCATTTGTGAAACAGTAACTGGGATTGAAACCTCAGTTTATCTAATAATTGGTCCCTGTACATACTTTTGGGTTCAAACATTGTTAGAGGGCTTATTCCTTCACCCACTTACTTCCCTGGTCCTTCTCACATGAACAGAGAGCAACAATACCCGAAGTCCAAAGGTGCAAACAATTCGATGTTTATTGGGGTGAACTTCCAGCAAGCATGATTCCAGTTTCCTTCCTTAGTATCCTCCTTCCCAGCTCTGACACCACAGAGCCTTACACCTGTGTCCCTGTTCCCATTCCTACCCTTAGCCAAACATGATTCTAACTTCCTTACTCCCATTCCCTGTTCCCATTTCCCCCTTTAGCAAAACATGATTCCAATTTTCTTACCCCCATTCCCTGTTCCCATCTCCCTTACCCACATGCCCATGCCCACCCACACCCACACCCACTCACTTCCTCATTGACTACAGATTATATAGTAAAACTTGAGTTCTGCTTAGCTATACCTTAACCAATCATTTTCCTGAAATTTAACTAACCAATCCTAACATATTGTAACATGATTATGTAACCAATTATATCCCACCACCTTAATTAGTTTACACCCAGCAAAATTAATTATACAGCAGACAGGAACAATCACAGAACCAGACAGAGATTATACAGACAAACAATAGCAAAGTGGGAACTACAATGACAAGACAACACAGAAGTGAGGATTTCACATCCCAGCTATTGATAAGTGAGTTCTTGCCAGACAGGATGCTATCAAACTAAGTTTCCTTTTACATTTTCTAGGCACTTCCCTTTCTCTGGAGGTGATAGGAATACAATCCTGTCCTGATACTGCCTAACAGCCCAATAGCACCTTATTTCAATGTGACTAGTTTGGAATGTGAGGATGTGACTGTTCGCTTCCCAGCTTATGGCTGCCTCTGCTGCTTAGCCAAAGGCCTTAGCCTAAGAACAGGGCCTCAGACTGTCACAGTAAGAGAAGGCCCTTACACCAGCAGATAGTGGTTTTGATTCTTTCTTTTATACCTCTATAATTAGCCAAGTGATAAGAATACACCTAAATTCTTAGAGTATAGGCCTTTACAGACAGGCCTGAATATCTATATCCTAACAACCATATATTGAAATGCTCTGCAAATAAGAGGGGCCACAGCAATTCAACCAAGCTTAATCATTTACACCTGAGGTTTGAGGCAGGTATTGAAAGTGCTGAAAGATGGCCAAGACAGCACCAAGAAAATTACTTTCTCGGCTCGCAGGGTGGGGATGCTATTACCCTTGGCAATTCAAACAGGTCATGCAGGGAACTGCATGGTGTGAAGGGAATTATGCTGGGGTTCGGGGAGGGTTTAAT